CGTGCCGGTGCTTGATAAACCTTCGGAGATTGAGTCTGTGACCCCGATTCCTGATACTGATCACTCTGTTACCTCCTCTGAAGTTCCGTTCTGTTTGTTTTCTTATGTTTATTTTGTGGTTTTTGTTGTTTTTTGTTTGGGATCTGTGTATTTTGGTGACCCGTGTGGGTTCACTCTTGTGTGGGGGAGGGTGTTACGTGCCGTAAGTTTGGGTTACGTGCCGTAAGGGATATGTGCCGTAAGTTTCGGGTACGTGCCGTAAGTGTTACGTGCCTTAAGTTTAGGAGGATGCCTGCAGGTCCTTCGGACGTCCTGCCCACTCGCCGATTGGTCAACCGCCCCCTCGACTCCGCCCTCTGGACCTGACCCCGCCTCCATTGCCCTCGGAGCCGTTTCCGGTTCATCGGCTGAAGAGATTGCCGCTTCGTCCCTTCATCTGCCCGCTGCTTGCTTCTCGCATGCTAGCTCGCTCTCCGTTCGCTTTACTTTGTTTGATTGATTGATTGTGTATGACTGTTTTGCCCTTGACTTTCGATTCTCGCCTCGCCCTAGTGATGGCAAAACGAAGCTTTTCAAAGCACTGAAGCTTCCTTTTCAAGTGTGTCGAAAAATGTTTCAGTACTCGAAGCCTTCCGAATTGCTGACCATTAGTGACACCAAGTGGTCAAATAAGGAAATAACACTTAATTTTGAGTGAGTGCAGTGAATCTGAATATTTATAAATTGGCAAANGTCTGCTTCTACGATCCAGAGCTGGCTCCGTGACGTGCAGCTGGTAGAGGACTGGCTGCGGGTCACGTCCTGAGGCCGTATTCCTTGTTTTTTGTTTTGATTTTTACTTTCCTAATTTTGACATTTCTCACTGATATAAGTATGTTATTTCTTTTCTCCTCAGTTTTTAGCTGCGCTCTTTGGGGCTGGGTGTGCCGGTGACCACTGGTACTATCTCAGGGTGAATGGGGGGGTCGAGTGTGTTTTGTTCTGTTCCGTCTTGTTCTTTGTTAAAAAATCTCCAATAAAAATTTGATCACAAAAAAAAAAAAAACATTTAAGGGTGGTTCCATTTACACGAACTTCACATTCCATCCTATTCAAAAAACGTTAATGGTTGATAACAATGTACATAATATACATACATAATATGTACATAATATACATACATACACTCTATTTATACATACATACATATATATTTATCTAAGTTTACATGTACATATACATATATTTATATTTTTCAATACACTCATCCATATTTATGTTTCCAGATTGTTTGTATAGTGTACTTTTTATACTGTACTGTTGGTACAGTTTTTATTCTATTGCTTTTTAATTTTGCTACTCTTGTCTTGCACTGTCCACTTTTCTGCCGTGACGATGCAAATTTCCCAATTGTGGGACTAATAAAGGATTATCTAATGTAATGTAATCTAATCTAAATCATTGGGTCAAAAGTATCACTAAATTCTAGGAATTTAAGTATGCCTCCATCAGAATATAATAATTTAAGGTGTGTCCTACTAGCCCAACAATGGAATCCATTTGGCCAGACAAAGGGTGTGACAAATGAAATCTGACTCTAACTGATTCATAACATTTTAGCTAAGAACTCCAGAGAATTTGTTGTTCTGCTTACGTTCAGGCTTTTTCTACTACGCTCATTCATTTGTTCTGGATTGTGATTTGCACAGGATTCTTTTGTGGCAAAATCCATGGACACAATATGTACCCAGTCTGGTCTTGTTCAGGAACTGCAGGCCGGCTACAGACTAGCGCGATGTCAGCTTTGCTTGTCAATACAGTGCATGGATTCAGTATAGCTGTCTAATTAAACCCAGATGCTTAGCCTATCTCCGAGGTTAACTCAGAAACTCAGCATACCTGATCAAGTTAGGGATCATATACTGTAAAAAAAAAAAAAAAAGTTCAGCCAACTCAAAAATTCAAGGCAACATGCTGCAATACATTTTTGAGTTGTCAACTCAGTTACAAAAATTCAACAAATTACCTATAGACAGAGGTTCAGCTAACTTTGACTTAAGAGTTAAGGCAACACTAATACAAGTTAGATTAACCTAGGTACAAAGTTTCAATAAACTTA